AGCCCGGCGCGGCGCCAGGCGCGCTGACGCAACGGGTTGCCGTGACAACGCTCCGGCCCCCGGGCAGTGGGTCCCCGCCCACCCCTGCTGCGCGAGCCTAATTTAGGGCGCAGGCGCGGCCTCCGCGGCTGACCTGGGCCGAGACCCCGGAGTGCGGCAGTCCGCGGCGCCGCTGTGGCCACCCTCCGCCCCCGCGGGGCAGCCGGCGAGGGCACCCCGTGAGAACTGCCTTACGCGGCTGAGGCGGAGACGCCCCGCTTCGGCACGTCTGCGCGGTGACGGCGCGAGAGCAAACTGGGCGCCGCCGGCGTCCAGCTGCGAGGGCGGGGAGGACTGAGAGGCGCCCGCCACACGCCAGCAGCTCTTTGGCTGGAACTTGAGCAGCATTAGCGAGTCCACCCCCAGGAGAGGGTGCTCCTGCAGCCTGGGACGGCGCGGGCCTGCGGTCCCCCTGACCTGCTGCCTCCCCAAGGGGCCTCCCCCTGACACGTGGCCCTGGAAGCACAGGTTGGGTTCTCTGTAGGGGGCTGAACTAGCCTCACTTTGCCCATCTGCAAAATGGGAACCTTGGTATCCGGAGGGCAGTGCCGAGTGAACCTCCCGGGTGCTGGACCGACCTACAGACCGGCTGAAATGAGAGGGGTTTATTATCTCGGTCCTGGTGGTCAGGAGTCCAATGCAGCGGCTCCTCTGAGGCCTGCCTGTTCCCGCTTCTAGAGGCATCTGGGCTCAGGCCCTTCCTCTGTCCTCACAGTCAGCAGGGTAGCCTTGTCCTTTCTCTGGTCCCTCTTATAAAGGGCCAAGGGAGGACACGAGGGCCCCAGAAATCCAGGGTCCTCCCTCCTCTCCGGGACCCTAATGTCATCAGCAAAGTCCACAGACAGGTCCAGGGCTGAGGACTGGGGTATCCTTCGGGTGCTTACCTGCCACCCCCAGGCCCTGACAGCCTTCTGTAGCTTGGAAGCAGCACTGACCTCTGCCTCGGAGGAGTGGGACCCGAGCCATGTAGAACTCAGTGGCATTCCGGGCCTGAAGCCTGGTCTCTGGAGGCAGCCTCTGAGCCGGGCCAGGAACAGCAACAGAGAGGCCCTGGGCTGCTGGCGTTTTTTTTTGTTTTGTTTTGTTTTTTTTTAAGATTTTTTAATTTGTGCATACAAGAACTGGGTGCACGCTAGAGGTACAGGGTGTGAGAGGGCTCCCCAGAGACAGAGTGGGGAGCAGAACAGGCAGATTGACGAAGCACACTGCTGAGGGGAGCAGCAAGGAGACAGGAGGGGTCTGCTGCACCCTGTGGGTCAGTTCCCTGGCCAGGGATTGAACTTGTGCTGCAGGGGCTGCTGCTAGCTTCATAGTGCTGTGCTTAACCCCTGTGTCACCAGAGGGCCCCCCCCCCGTGTTGCCATTTGAGGGCAGGTGAGCCAAGACATGTGGGGGGACAGGGGTCCCCCCCCTTGGGGGCCTCCCTTTCTCTCTCTGCTCCTGACACACATCCAGCCAAGCCCAGCCCTTCCTTGGTGTCCCTGCATGGCTGTGCCTTCCCAGGACCTGTACAGATGCCCTGAAAGCCTCCTGACCACCTCAAAACTGGGAGCCCCTGTACATTCTGCCCCAGGTCACTGGCGGAGGACAGGTCATCTGGGAGTGGGACACCGCAACAATTACCTGGGTGTCCAGGTGAAGAGGAAGCTAGATGCAAGCCAAGTGCGCATCCTCAGTTACTGGGACAGAGGTGTCATCTGCAGGGCCAGCTTGTCCCTTGGGGACTTTCAGCAACTGGCCCCTGTGAGTCAGCATTGCCCGTGCCACAGCAGGCAGGTCCCAGTGTTGCTGAGACACCCACGGCCGGGCAGCTGTGAAGCCTGAAAACACGCGTCCAACTTTCCCTTTGCCCTGTTCTCTCTCCCCTCTCCGAGGACAGCTGCCCTGGCTCCTTCCCCGGCACTGCCGAGCCACTGGAATGGAGCAAGCCATGAGTCAGCCAGCAGGAAGGGACACTTACGGCCACTTGCATCAGACATTTCTGAGGCCCCAGCCCTATGAGGCCCCAATGATAACACTGTCTCTGACCCTCACTTATCTAGGGACCTCCTTGGCTGTGGTTCTGTCTCTGAGGGAACAGGCAGGCAGAGGGGTGCTGCCCAGATGAGGTGCCAACTCAAAAGTCCAACTCCACTAGCCCCTGGAACTGCACTTCCCACTCCAGCTTAGTGTCTTAGAGGCAGCCCTGCGTGCCCAGCTCTGCACGGGTGGAAACGCCAGCCTTCCCCCCAAAGGCACAGGCTTGTGTGGATGGCCCCAGCACTGGCACAGTGGCTCACGGGAAGGCTTTGGTTGTCACGCTGCATGGAGGTGGGACTTCTGGCATCAAGTGGAGTTAGGGACCTGCTCAGCACCTTGCAGCACCTAGGGCTGCACCCAGCCCCCATGACCACAATGCTGAGCAAGTGGGGGGCCCTGGGTGGAAAGACCCCAGAGACAGAGGCAGGGTCTATTTCCCACCTGAGAACCTTCTTTTCCTCCAACTGCAGCAGGGCCTATGTGGGAACCCCCTGATCAGGCTGTGCACAAAGCGTTCCTCTGAGCACTGCCTGGTGCTATGCCCAGCGTCTAACACTGGAACAAACTGCCCCCACACACTGGACTCTCTCCAGTCCGGATGCCCAGGATGTAGGCCTGGCCCTTCAGGCTGGATTTGTCCTGAGCCACTGGCAAACCCAAAGGAGTCCATAGGAGGGAAGACTGCAGTCAGCCTCTGTAGCTGGAGATAGGTGCACAGCATACCGAGGCAGAAAAGAGGTCCAAGAACTTCTGAATCGGGTTTCCCAGAAAGATAGGTCTGTGTCCTGACCCCCAGGACCTGTAAATGTGATCTTAGTTGGACATAGGGTCTCTGTAGGTGTGGTTAAGATAATACTGGAGTGGGGTGGACTCAGTGCAATGACTGGTGTCCTCACAAGAGAGGGGAGACACCGAGACAAAGGGATTCAGGGAGGCCATGTGAAGGCCAAGGCAGAGACTGGGTGATGTAGCTACAAGTCTCGGGATGCCCCGTATCGCTGTCTACCCCAGAAGCTGGAAGAGGTAGTAAGGATCCTTCCGCGGCCTTTGGAGAGGATATACCCATAGGACACCGTGACCTCAGACTAGGGGCCTCCAGACCTTGAGAGAATAACTTGTTGTGTTAAGCCATCCAGTGCGTGGCACTTGGTTACTGAGGCTCTAGGAAGCGGATGCACTCCGACAACCCCAAAACGCAGACACACAGGCACGTAAAGCATGTCTAGACATGTCCTTTCTTTTCAGCAAGATCAGGTGAACATTCCTGTCTGTCAGGTCCTGTGTTGGGCACTTGACTGGCAGTGGTCAGATCCATGCTCATGCAAAACGGATGTTCTGGGGAGGGGTGGTGGTCCATGTATACTTGCCTATGCCACCAGAAGGCATGGAGACCTACAGGGCCCACATACACAGGCGAAGCACGAGTGGGAGTGGACAGCTTGCTGAGCAGAGAGCTGTGAAAGCTTGAGGAGGGACCAGGAGACTTCCCTGGGCAGGCTGAGCAACCACTGTCCTCTTCCCCTTCCACGGCACCTGGCCCAGCCTGTGTGCCTGCACACTACGTGCAGAGCAGGGGGAGAAGTGGGGGCTGCCTGCGAGCTCCAAATGCTCAGAGGCAGGGGTTGGCTGGGGCCAGACCTTCCAGTGCCTTTGGAGTATGGGGGAGGAGCGCCCTTCACAGTGCCCATACCCTAAATTGGCCACCTTTCCCTGCTAGCGAGGGGAGCTCCCTGGGTGAGGCAGCTGGGTTGTCCCCTCTTGGCATGTATGCATTGGAAAGCTGAGGCAAAGAAGCGAGTTGCAAGCAGGATCCATAGCAGGTTCTAGAGCAAAGGCATTGCCCAGTGGAGGGAGTGTAACTTTACCCTTAGCCTACAGACTGGGGGAATTGCCAGAGGGAAGACCTGGCTCCGGACGTGGATCCCGCAGGCATCCCAGAGCCCCACAGCGCACAAGCAGGTGGATTCCCACCCACCAGCGGAGATCCCGCCCACGTCCCTGGGCAAGAACCTCGCGCGCTATCTGCGCAGGCGCGCAGATGTACCCTGGGCCCCTCCCAGGGCCGCATCGGCGGATGGAGCGTCCCTCTAGCTCCGCCCCCGCCGCGCGCGTTTGGGCGGGGCTTGAGGGCGGAGCCTGCGTGGGGCGGGGCCTCAGGGCCTGGCCCATAAAGGCGG